TCTGAGACTGTACTCTCGGGTCTTGAGACTCTCCCATGAGGGGAAACATCCTCTCAGGATTTACCCTTTAAGAATCCTATATGTTTCAATGAGATCATCTCTCATTTTTCTATACTCTTCAATGAATAAAGTTACAACTTGTTTAGCATTTACTCAAAAGACAATCCCTCCATACTGGGGATCATCAGACTGAATCTTCTCTAAACTGCCTCCAATGAAATAATCTTTCCTTAAATAAGGGGACCAAAACTGCTCTCAGTCCTCCAGATGTGGTCTCACCAGCATCTTGTACAGTTGCAAAAGGATTCTGCTACACTCATACTCCAGTCCCCTTGAGATAAGGGCCAACATTCCATTAATCTACCTGATTACCTGCAGTATGTGTTCTAACTTTGTATTTCATGCACAAATACCCCAATGTCTCTTTATGCTGTAGCTTTCAGCAGGTTTTCTCCACTTAAACTTTACTCTCTTGATCAATTTGGAAGGGAAAACTAAACAACTTCACAGTTTACCACATTACACTCCATTTGCCAACTTTTGCCCATTTATTAACCTATGTCTCTGTAAACTGTTTGTATCACTCTTGCTTTTCCACCTGCAAATTCCACCACTACGTTCACTTCCTTCCTCCAAGTTGTTAACATATGTTGTAAATAGTGGCGGTCCCAGCACTGATCCCTGTGGAACCCCACAGATAACAGGTTGCCAAGCTGAAAAAGAACCCTCTATTCCAACTAGCCAATTCTCTACCCAAGTCAATACACCTTAGGCTCTTATATGACTCAGCCTTTCATGGGGTACCTTGCCTAATGCCTTCTGGAACTCCAAACACAACACATCTACTGGCTGCTCTTTATCTACTCTGGTTGAGACTACATCAAAAAACTAATAAATTAGTCAGACACTAGTTCCCTTCCATTAAACCATGCTGACTACTTGATTAGATTATGATTTTCCAAATATTCTATTATTTCCTTAATAATTGATTCCAATACTTTTCCAACGATAGATCTTAGGCTAATCAGCCAGTAGTCACCTACATTTTACCTCTTCCCCAATTAAGAATGGGTGGAGGGAGGGGGTCACATTAGCAGTTTTCCAATCATCTAGTACTCGTTCAGAATCTGAGGATTTTTGGCAAATTACAACTAATGAATCCACTATCTCAATTGCTACCTCTTTTAGGATCCTTCAATTGAAGCCATGAGGGCCAGGGGACTGGTCTCCCTTTAGTCCTATTAGTCTAATACTACTTCCTTCATGATGGCAATGGGATTTAGTTGCTCCCCACCTATTCTTTAGTATTAATGGAATATTCAAAGTATTTTCCACCGTAAAGGTGAAGGTGTTCTCCTTATAAAGCTTTGAAGGTTCAGAATCTTTTGACAATGGCTAAGAAGGAAAAGCTGCTTCCAGTGACAAGATGGTTGAGAACACCATAAAGTGTTTAGAAATGTAACAGAGAACGACCATGGAACAGATGGTAACTATTTTTGATAAAGTCAATCTAAAACATTAATTTTCTTTAGTGTCTCTATTAGATGCTAGCTGGACCAGACTACGTCTAGCATTTTTCATTTTTGTTTCATGTTTCCAGTATTCAGTTTTATTTTATTTGAATATCCAAATTGCTCCAGTTCAGGCTTCATTAATCTCTTACAATATTAAGAAAATATTATATCTGCATTTATTTCCAGTCAGTACTTGCCATTATAAATGCCCAAGTTTACAATTACAATAGGAATTAGCCCTTTAAATGTCTTATACTGCAAAGACACCCTCCTGCCAACAGAATAGTTTTGCAGCTCCAAACTCTCAGTCTATACTGTATCAAATCCCTTCATTATTACAAATATTTTGAGAATTAATTTCAGCTATTTAAACTTAAACAATTTAGTTCCTCAGAATTAAATTTAGAGACCTGGGCATCATTCTGGTGACTCTGCTCAGTACCCTCCTTTTTGAATACAAAACTGAAGACACTGTTTCAGATCGAGTGTGATCAAGGCTCTGAACAACTGAAGTATCACTTCCTCATTTTCCCAGTTTTCTTACCAGGCAGACAAAAATCTGAACGCACATTTTGTTTTAAACAAAATGTGCTTTGAAAAACCCTTTAAAGCTATTTTGTTTAGACAGCTTTATTTTAGCCAGTTGGAAATTTAGCTGCTTCATGGATTTAGACAAATCTAAATGCGTGTTGGAAGTATTAGTTTCTAAATCTGATCAGAGTAACTCAGCATCATCCACCCTTTGTACTTGGCAATTACTGCAATCATGCTCCAAAGTCCTGACAAAGTATAACCACATCAGCCCAAATAGCCAAAAGAAAGAAAAGGGTCTCACAGCAGGTTTTGTATGAGAAGGTACTCTACAGAGGGCTACTTAAGTGCTGGGAGTAGTACATTAGCATGTAGAGATGACTGGCTAACTAATAAGGGTTAGAATAAAATCGGTATTTTAATGTTAAATAAAATGGATGGCAACCTGTAAAGAGTGGAGTATCATAGAGATCAGTGCTGGGGCAATTATTTACTATATATATTAATGACTTAGATAACAAATGTGAAGGTAATATCACCAAGATGACAAAAATAGGTGGAAGGCAAGCAGTGAAGATGACACAAGGAGCCTACTGAAGGATATGAGACAACAAGGTGCAGGGCTGGATGAACACAGCAGGCCAAGCAGCATCATAGGAGCAGAGAGGCTGACGTTTCGGGCCTAGACCCTTCATCAGAAAAGGGGGAGGGGAAGGGGGTTTTGAAATAAATAGGGAGAGAGTGGGAGGCGGATAGAAGAGGGATAGAGGAGAGGATAGGTGGAGAGGAAACAAACAGGTCGAAGAGGCGGGGATGGGGCCAGGAAAGGTGAGTGTAGGTAGGGAGTTAGGAAGGGGATAGGTCAGTCCAGGGAGGACGGACAGGTCAAGGGGGCGGGATGAGGTTGGTCGGTAGGAGATGGAGGTGCGGCTTGAGGTGGGAGGAGGGGATAGGTGGGAGGAAGAACAGGTTAGGGAGGCAGGGACGAGCTGGACTGGTTTTGGGATGCGGTGGGGGGAGGGGAGATTTTGAAACTTGTGAAATCCACATTGATACCATTGGGCTGCAGGGTTCCCAAGCGGAATATGAGTTGCTGTTCCTGCAACCTTCGGGTGGCATCGTTGTGGCACTGCAGGAGGCCCAGGATGGACATGTCGTCTGAGGAATGGGAGGGGGAGGTGAAATGGTTCGCGACTGGGAGGTGCAGTTGTTTGTTGCGAACCGAGCGTAGGTGTTCTGCAAAGCGGTCCCCGAGTCTCCGCTTGGTTTCCCCGATGTAGAGGAAGCCACACCGGGTACAG